AATATTAATATTTCAACATGAAATCAGTATAAAAATTACTAATGGTATATTTTTAAATTATATTTTCCTTATGAAATTTGAAATCTGGTGTGTATGTTGCACTCACAGCACATCTTAATTTGTACTGGTCACATTTCAAGTGCCCGTGTGACCAGCGTCCCTGGTGGCCACTGTATTGGACAGCACATTTAGACACTTCCTCACCTCCACCACTGCCAGAGGTTTTGGTGACACCATTTTCGGATTGCAGTTGCTTTTGCCTTGTAATTAAGGTTGGCTTGTAGCTTTCCCTGCAGTTAGCTTAGGTTTTCATTTTAAATTGCCAAGTCCTTTATCCTTCCTCAGTCACTTTCTAGCCTCCAAAATGCTGAGGCTATTGTCTCCTCTCATTTGGGTCATTTTTGACAAGGAATAAGGAGTAAAAAGGCGTACGTGTTCAATCCACCCTCTTTACTCTGGAGCTGTAGTTTTTGTTTTCTGATTAGATAGTGTCCACATTGATTTTAACCTTAGCATCATGTCATGTGGCATGACACCAGAAGAATATTTTCTCTCTTGTCTGTTCAAATGCTATGGAACTTGTATATTTGTTATGTATGAGATAAGAAGCTTCTTTCCACTTATTTGTGTTTATACTAAGGTTTTTTTCCAGTGGTCAAGAGTTGACTCCGACTCATGGAGACTCCATGTCTGTCAGAGTAGAACGGTGCTCCGTAGCATTTCCAATGGTTAATTTTTTGGAAGTAGATCACCAGGCCTTTCTCCCAAGGTGCTTCGTGGTAGACCTGATCCTCCAACCTTTCACCTAGCGGCAGAGCACATTAACCATTTGTACCACCCAGGGACTTCTACTGAAGTTTTAGTGAGTTACAAATTTTTTCCTTATAAATAATTGATTTTATATATTGAACATTTCATCATTAAAAATCTTTTTCTTTTGATGAGTTGGCTTTTCCCTGTTCAGTGTTTTTCCTCCCCACCCCCACCCTTCCCGCTTCAGCTTTTTGGATTTTCAGCACGTCTTTAAGTGGAGCCACATGTGATATTCTGAATATGAAGTAAATTCATTTCTCATTTCTGTAAAAATACACACATCGGTGGGGGGGGAGTGTGAAAATATGTGAGTAGATAATGAGAATCATAGGAGGAAGCAAACCAGGATGAGGGGTCACAGCTGGGAAACACAAGTTAGATTACAGACTGTGGTTACCTGGGTGGGCAGAAAGGACTGGACCTTCTCCTCCCAAAGCCTTGAAGCAAATGCTGGAATGTGTCACATTTCATGTGCTAATTCCTAAACTGCACACCAAAAAAAGAACAAACCAAACCCACTGCCATCAAGTCAGTTCTGATCCATAGCAACCCCATAGGGTTTCCAAGGCTGAAGCAGACTGCCACATCTTTCTCCCTCCTAGCCACTGGTGGTATCCAACTGCTGACCTTTCGGTTGGCAGTTGACCTCCTTAACCACTGCGCCACCAGAAACACTGTTAATTTTAATGAATCAAACACATACTTTTTAAGAAACCGCTTGAGTCATAATCAAGAACCAATTACATAAATTCCTTAAATTATCAAATTGGTTCAAATAATCAGCTTTTGTAAAAAAATCATAAGCATTCTGTGAATTCAGTAAATGTCATAATAGAAATACCTGTTCATGATTTGGATCAAATGCAGCCCCAGGATCCCTATTGGACTCTGTCAGAATGAGTTGGGCCTGGGAGTTAAGGAATTTTAATTTTTTCTAACACTGATTTGATAAAGGAAGTCGTCTTCCTATTTAGTTTTCATAGTGATTTTGGTACTTGCTAACTTTCATAGTTTTTAATCCAAGTTAGAGATGGGCTGTTAAGGACAGTGAAAACAGAAGTTTCTGTACTCTGTCACTTCCCATTGCTGCTTTAATGTCTTTTTGTTCTTGGCTTGTACATCTTGTCACCAGACATGTTTTCCACATGGGTAGGAGCTGTCCCTCGCTCAGTCAGCCTGAGAGATAAATCTAGAAGCATTGATGCATTTCTGCTTCTTCTGGGTCAGCTGAGCAGTTCAGTCTCTATGTCAGCTTTGCCACACTCTTTGGTCCTTTGTAGGCTGTTCAGATCCCCCTGCCCCCCAGAAATAAAAATAACTGCTTTACCAATACAAGTTTAGCTGTATTTAAAATCCTAGTGGGACTCAGTCCTCTGAACTGATATTTTCCCTGTGTCTTAGATGGTGACCGGCTACCACCACTGACCACTTTGACAGGGATCACGATAGAGGGTTTGTGCAGAGCAGGAGAAAAATGTAGAACAAAATTCAAATTCACAAAAGAAGACCAGACTTACTGGTCTGACAGAAGCTGGAGGAACTCCCGAGACTATGGCCCCCAGACACCCTGCTAACTCAGAACTCAAGCCACCTTCAGCCAAAAATTACCCATTGCCACCAAGTCGATTCTAACTCATAGCTACCGTATAGGACGGAGTAGAACTGCCCCATAGCGTTTCCAAGGAGCAGCTGGTAGATTCCAACTGCTGACCTTTCTGTTGGCAGCCGAGCTCTTAACCCTGCTAACCCAGAAGTGAAACCATTCCCGGAGTCCACCTTTCAGCCAAAGATTAGACAGGCCTATAAAACAAACAATAACCTGTGAGGAACGTGCTTCTTAGTTCAATCAAGTATATGAGACCAAATGGGCAACACCTGCCCAAAAGCAAAGACGAGAAGGCAAGAAGGAACAGGAAACCTGGACAAATGGACACAGAGCATCCAGGGTGGAAAGGAAAGGGGGAGAGTGCTGACACTTTGCGGGGATTGCAACCAATGTAACAAAACAATTTGTGTATACGTTTTTGAATGAGAAACTAATTTGCACTGTAAACCTTCACCTAAAACACAATAAAATGAAAAAAAAAAAAAAAGCTTAGTTGGAAACAGATTAAAATCCATACATTAAGTAGCCTGATTTTTCTGAGTCATATGCTTGATTAGCTTTGTGGTTTTGAGGCATTCAGTCTAAACTATCTCACTGAGATACTTTATATGTAGTTAGTTGATAAATAACTGAATTCCAGCTCATGAAATTATTGGAGTGAAATCTGAAGTGTTTATACAGTTGCACAGTGGGTTCAACTGTGGTGCTGTCTTCTGGAATATATGCAAATCTAACCCAGGTTTATTATCTTTAGACTTACTGACATTGAATTCTACAGCGGATTGGCAGAAGGTGGGATGTAGTTAATGTAATTTTTTTGTTTCCCCTAATTACTGGTTAAACAAGTTTCTGTTATGTGATATTGTCAATCTGTCATTCAGATAAATATTCATACACACATTAACCTCAGCAAAGAGATCATTCATCCAGGGAGTGAACTGAGTCATTCAATGTGTGTTTTAAATGCCTTATCACAGTTATGGAACTGAATATGTAAGAACAGCATAGAAGTAGTGACGATTGCAAATCTCTCTCATGTCTAAGTAAGTACATTTCTTGTTTCTTTACAGGGATCTTCGCTTTAACAGAATTAGAGAGATCCAACCTGGGGCATTCAGACGACTGAGAAACTTGAATACACTGTAAGTTGAAACATTTGATTGGAATCCAATAGAAAAAATATATATAAAAATCATTACACCATTTGTGGGGAGGTATACAGGAGCCCTGGTGGCGCAGTGGTCAAAGCTCTTGACCGCTAACTGAAAGGTCAGTGGTTTGAAACCACCAGCCGCTCCACGGGAGAAAGATGTGACAGTCTGCTTCCATAGAGTTTACAGCCTTGGAAACCCTAGGGGGTTGCTATGGGTCGGAATCGACTCGACAGCAGTGGGTTTGGTCTTGGTACATCTTGAATAGTCTGGTCAGCTCTTGATTGTCCTTCTTGATTGGGCATGATGGGGGAAAAGCAGAGACCAAGACAGAGAAAAGTATATGCAAATGGAAATTTCAGGACTGCAGAATTCTATGCTTGTCCACAATTTGTTCATGTGTTCACCTGCCTGTCTCATCTGGTATTCATCTACCTATCCATTATATATTGGGTGTAATCCATAAAAGCGACCAAGTTTCCCCCTTTTCTTCATTTGAGCAATTCATTATCGTATCACTTTTGCCGCTTGTAAGAACAGGTTTGATTACATCTGCTCGTTCATGTCTGACTGCAAGGCTGGGAAGGATAGCACTGCTCCTGAACTCAGCACATACATCGGAGAACTTTTAACCCAGGCCATCATGCCCCGATATTTAAACCTTAGAGGGTGAGCTAAGGAAACAGGCGTGGCCATTGTTTGAGTGGTTCTGCAGCAGATTTCATGTTGCTTTAGAATACACTTAGCACGCTGGAAAGCTTGTCTCTCTTGGCTCTCCTGCTCCAGGACAGTGAGTAATTGGCGTATGGGAAAGTGCAGGGAAACAGGAGGTGAGACTGGGCCCTTAACCTTGACATCTGTGAGCAGATCACTTAGCTGCACTGCATACCAGCTTCCTTATCTGTGAACATGAATGGCTCATTGAACTAGATGGCACACTTTTTGTTTTTTTTCAGGTCAACACCAACATGTATTTATTAAGTCCTTTATATGCCTAGCAGTGTAGCTTTAAGAGCTACAGAACAGATACTAGAAAGACAACGTCTGTATTTTTAAGAAGCATACAACCTTGCTGTAGTAAAGGTCCAGTTTACTGTCTTCATGCACAAAGTTCCTGGCCAGTGTATATACATTATTTAAAGCACACTTTTCCAGCTTACCTGGTTCTACAAGGGTGCTGAGTCTTTCATTGTAAATGGCATACTTTTAATAACACATCTGATTAGACCATACTAAAATTCTATGATTGCCTTTAAATTGACCTGCTGAAGTAGAAAATCTAAGAGAAAGCAGGAGAAGGATTATAGTCCTTTGTATAGGACACCTGGAAACCCTGGTGGTGTAATGGTTAAGAGCTATGGCTAAGAGTTGGAATCGACTCAATGGCAATGGGTTGTGTCTCCTATACAAAAAAAACACAAAAGCAAAACAAACCTATTGCTGTTGAGTTGATTCCAACTCCTAGCGACCCGATAGGACAGAGTAGAACTGCCCTGTAGGGTTTCCAAGGAGCAGCTGGTGGATTCGAACTGCCAGCCTTTCGGTTAGCAACCAAGCTCTTAACCACTTCACCACCAGGGCTCTCATTTATATAGGAGAGAGAGAATTATTTCTTTATTGTATTCAAAGGTAAAAAAAGAGGTGATATGGACAGTCATTAAAAAAAAAACAAACCCATTGCTGTCATTACTCCAGAAATTTGTAATCATGAAAGTTAAATAGTTAAAATGCTGTTTGTTGTGTTAATTTAGCATTTAGTGTATGCTGATATGTGGGTCCATGGCTTAATAATTTTGTGTGCTTCTTCAAGACTATAGGAATGTTGTTTCATAATACAATTTAGAATTTTTTTTCCTAATTCTTATTGAAACTTTTTTCATAGACTTCTCAACAATAATCAGATCAAGAAGATACCTAGTGGATCATTTGAAGACTTGGAAAATTTAAAATATCTGTAAGTTAATGATCAGTTCTTTAACCTGAAAGCTTCTGCTATATATATTTAAACTATTCAGTCGTTGAGCTAAATTATTTCCTGTTTATGAGTTATTATAAATCCATCCACATAAAGGGATTTTATTTTCAGATGGTGAGTGAGATTTTACCTAGAATTGTTACACATTAGTGATTTTTAGTGTTTAGCTATTAAGCCTTTAGTGACATAAATCAAAAACCCATTACTCCAGAACTGCCCCATATGGTTTCCAAGGAGCAGCTGGTGGATTCAAACTGCTGACCTTTTGATTAGGAGCCAGGGCACAGTGGTTAAGAGCTATAGCTGCTAAATAAAATTAAAATGCATAGCCACTGAAAATCATTTTAAGAGTAATAATGAAGATTCTTGAGATGGAAGATGATAACTTATATTCAGTTGCTAATGTGAATAGCTGACCTAAGTTTTCCAAAATGTAAGCTTTCATAGCCATTTAAAATGGCGGTGTCACTCAGGCCTGTCCAGCTGTAAGTGAAATGTAAAGATGTAAATTATAAATCCCACTGGAATGTCACCAGTATTTGCTAATTCTAACAGCATTCCTCCAACTGGCTTTCCCCTCTTCTTATGTGTAATTAAATTTTATTTTACTATTAAAATTGATTTTAATTAATTAATTTATTATCATTAAAAAATTCTCTTTCCTGAAGTCAGTTGTGCAGTTTAGAAATGATCTCTTCAGGAAGTACTGGTTTAGCACACGTAAAATGCACTTATTTTAAAATTGGAAAGAGTTAAGAAAAACACTCAGGTTTAATTCTTGGTTCTAGACAAATTAGAAGCATATGTCATGTGCTTTTAACAACTCACCCTTAGTTTTAGGACTTAGATAACTTTTCAAATATAGCCATTTTTGGTGAGGGATTTATATCAATGATTTTTATTAGAAATGTATGTCATAAGTGAACCTAAACATCTTTTAAGTTATGTTGATTTTTTAAGAGCAGTCATATTGCTAAGGTTGATGTATATTTTGCAGTCTGTTCAGATTTTTTAGATGTGTCACAGGTCCTAACCACAGAGCTCACTTTAATCTGTTTATTCAAATATATTCAGCTTAATGAAGATATTTGAAAATATTGTGTCTAAATATTTCTTCTCCATCTTTTTTGACATAGTATGTTAATTTCTAATTCTCTGTCAACATTACTAAGCCTATTTTGACTCATTTGTAAAATGAAGGACAGGTCTCCTATTTACACTTTCAGTTTTTATGTGTTTGCTTGTTTTTTATTTATTATTATTATCATTATTTTAATTTTAAATGCTATGTGGCTTCCCAAGGGGAGTTTTGATTTGTTGCAAAGCCTATCCTGTTAGCTGATAGCCAGCATTCATATTGTGTGGCTTTTTTTTTATTAATAGTTTGTTTTTATTTTATTTTATTTTTATTTTATTTTTTTCTTCTGCCGTTCGGTTACCGAAGAACAACTTACTATTTACTTTGCAAATATCTCTTTTAAATGATACTTTTTAAACCCTGACTATTGACCACTACTCTCGAGACATTAGTGTTCCTGCCTTTCTTCTTTCTCTGCACCACAACCCACCTGCGATCCTTACCGGCTGGAGGTAACACGGATTGTAGTTGATGGGAATGAAGCAGTGGGTCACTAGTCAGGAGAGAATATGCATCACCGAGGAGACAGACAGACAGAAAGCAAGGACAGAGCTAGAGAGAGGGGATCAGGGTGTGACACGTTTATCCAGCTATTTGGAATTCCCAATTTTGTTCCCGAAATCCCTTAGAATCGATTGCATTGGTAGAATACATCTTGCTAACCCTGCTTTAGGAGACTGTGTAATAGTATAATTTAAATGCTTAAGAACTCTCTTGAATTTATTATTTCAGCCTTGTCTATGTAGTGTGTATATGTCAAAGTGTATTTTTAGAAGTTGAATATTCTTGTGTTTCCTGGAACCCTATTATTTCTGCGCAGGCCAGTAATCTTCATAATTATGAAATTAACTCTTGAGATAGAACTCATACTCAAAAGGTCAAGTCTATGAAATAGAAAATGACTTATAAACTTATTATTAGATCAGTCAATCCCCAGTTCTTATGAAAACAAATTATGCTTTAGCGTGTTTCTGAGACGTAGTCATGCATATCTGAATTGTTTTGTGTGCTCTTCAAAATAATTCCTTTACTCTAATTTTTTTTAAGTGCATGCAATGTGGTGTTAGTATTGATATTCTGTTTTTGTTTTGTTTTTAAGAAAAGAGCACAGAAACCTATGTTTCAGACTTGCTTTCCATACCCAAACCCAAACCCATTGCCACTGAGTTGATTCCAACTCACAGCGACCCTGTAGGACAGAGTAGAACCGCCCCATAGAGTTTTCAAGGAGCAGCTGGTGGTTCGAACTTCCCACCTTTTGGTTAGCAGCCTCGTCCTTAACCACTGTGCCATCAAGGCTCCTGCCTTCCATAGGAGTAATAATAACTGACCCCTACACAGTTACTATGTGCCAGGCAGTATTCTAAGAGCTTTAAATCTATTAATTTAATCTTCACAACCATCCTGAAAGGTGCTGCTATTTATTTCCATTTTACAGAAGAAGAAGAAGGAAAAAAAAACAAAAACCCAAAACAAACAAAGAAAAAAAGCTTGAGACACAAAAAAGGTTAAGTGTCTTATTTAAGATCACACAGCTAAGAAGTGGCAGTCAAGGGTTCAAACCCACGCAGCCTGGCTGAGTAACTGCCAAAGTCTGCCTCTGAGGGCTACTGCTGGGCTCTCACTTGCCAGGGAAATTTTGGCTGGTTTATGTTCAGGCTTACAGTTCTTTGTGGGTCAACCTTAGCAAGTTTGCAAACAGAGAGAAGTGAGAATCATTTAGATGGATTGTAACAGTTAAAAGACAACATAGCAGGTCCTTTTAAACGTGGTCCCCACTGAGCAGTACTAATTAAGGCACATCAGAACACATTGTCCTCCTGAAAATGAAGTCTGCAATATTATAAGCAGTAAGACAAAAAATGTTGTGTGTTTAGCAGAATAGGTAGGTGATAGTTCATTCATTGAGAAACAGAAGTTTCTGTCTGAGGTCAAAATTAGGAAAAGTGTGGATTTTGATTTGTGCATCTACCTAGATCGAAATTGAAGCCAGACCGATTACGGGAAACCACAATGCTCCGTATCTGTGTGTCTGAGTATACAGTTGATCTTTATTTAAAACAAAATTCTTGGCGTTCACTGGAGCTTTACTTCTGTCCAAAAAAAACAAAACAAAACAAATCCATTGCTATCGAGATGATTCTGACTCACAGTGACCCTATAGGACAAAGTAGAACCGTCCCCATGGGGTTTCCAAGGCTATAGTCTTTACAGGAATAGACTGCCACATCTTTCTTTCTTGGAGTGACTGGTAGTTTCAAACTGCTGACCTTTCAGTTAGCAGTCAAGTGCTTAAGCACTGCACTCCCCAGGGCTCCTTACTGCTATAGAACTATATATCAAAAGAAGAAGAAGAATTTGTGACACATGAAAATAATATAAAATTCCAATTTCAGTGCCATAATAAAGTTTATTGAAACACACCACGCTTACTCGTTTACATGTTGTCTATGGTGACTTTGGAGCTACAATGGCAGGACAGTTGTGACAGAGACCATAAGGTCTGTGGAAATTAAAATATGCACTTTCTGGCAATTTAAAGAAACAGTTTGCAACACTTGGCCTAACCTATCAAGGATGAAGACTTTCATACTGAAGTACCACAATTCGGAGGGATCACAATTCCGGAAAGAACTATAGAACTGTATATAAAACTTACTGCTATAGAACTGTGTTACAAGGAAAATTGTGCTGAAATCAAGTCATCATCAGTATATACGGTTTTAGGTTTTGGCAAACTGTTTCCCTAAATTGCCAGAAAGTACATATTTTAATCAAGGGGCAGATTAACCAGGAAGCAGGGTACACCACATGGGTTTAACAGCAAGCAGGGTACCCACAGGCTTAACTGTGTTTACTTACTCATGTGCTGTGCTCAATTTCACACAAGTAAACCCGTGCTTACCTTGCTTATTGGGTGATCCATCCCTGCGTACCTTATGGTGTCTGTCGCAACTGCCCTGCCATTGTACACGGAAGCCACCATAGACAACATGTAAATGAGTAACCATGGCTGTGTTCCAGCGAACCTTATTATGGCACTGAGATTTGAATTTTTTATTGTTTTCATGTGTCACAAAATATGATTCTCCTTTTGATATTTTTTAACCATTAAAAAATGTATAAAAACATTCTTAGTTTACAGACCATAAAGAAGTAGGTGGTGGACCAGATGCTGTGCTTTCTCTGGCATGCCATTCATTATTGCTTCTGTTTGATAAGAATAGGATTCTCGGTCAGTGAGTCATTCCGTACATCATTTAGTCTTTGTGTTGTTTACTCCTTAAATTATTTCTGGATATTTTGACACTGTATTAATATCAGTTGTAAAATCTTAATGACTTAATGACTTTTTTTTCTATCATGATACGAGCATTTTAAACGTTAGTGGGGAAATGGTTCTATTTTATTCAGGCTATGAAGCAAATGTGTTGTCAACAATTCATAAGTCATAGGTCAAGAATCTATAAATTATCTGATGGAATGGTTTGATTACCTTCAGTTTGATCCATTTGAGATTTCGTTTTAGAAAGGAAGGGAAATCTCTGTGAGAGGAACCATACTTACTGTGTAAACATTTTGTTTGTATTCTAATACAGTCATTAGTTTGAAAACTGTCTCCATGTGTCAACTTAATTCTCCTTTTCCATCTTAAGTTATTACCTCTTGTTTGTGTACTAATACTCCCCAATGTTTCTTGTTTCAGCTATTTGTACAAGAATGAAATCCAGTCAATTGACAGGCAAGCATTTAAGGGACTTGCCTCTCTAGAGCAACTGTAAGTGCCCTTTCTCTTCTGTGCTTTAGCTTCTTTGATGTCACCTGCCTTTTGCCTCTCTTGGGGGAAAAATGAACTGTGCCAGCTGTTTGCATGATGCATGACTATACTAAATGGGATGTAGGTAGCTAGACCCAATAGTGTATGCATGAAAATGAAAAAGCAATGAATTGACTTGTTATTCACCCATCTATCCAACCATCCATCCATCCAACCATCCATTCATTCATTCAGTAGATATTTATTAGGTTTCTACTATACACCAGATCCTGTGCCATGCATTAATGATACAAGGAAGAATAAGTCAGATTCCCTGTCTTGATAGTGTTTATAATTTAATGAGAGAGACAGACATGCAAGCAAAGAAGATCAAGGAAAGGTCTTTAGTGGTCGAAATTTCAAGGGCAAAGGAGGATGAGGACGTTGTTTTATTGTACGTTATTTCCTTTTTGTGACTGCACGTAGTGCAGTTTACTTTTCCTCAATCATGAGGTCCTTATTTTGGAGAAAACAAACTTTTATCAGAGTTCATGCGTTTATAGTTAGCATACACGGGATGTAATTAAATTTGTAACAAAATTGAGTTCGTTCTTTTGGCCTCGTGAAATCATACTTTGCTATGAAGTCAGCATGTTGACTTTTCACTAGAATGTACTATTGCAAGTTTTTTGTTTGTTTGTTTTCTTTCTTTTTTTGGTTTGTTTGCTCGGCCGTCCGTCTTTACTATATTAGCTAAACCGATTCCTGAGGAGTTTCCCATTATCATGCAGTTTTACTAAAGTGGATGGACAACAGCTAAAGTTTGGTGTAATACACCATGACTTTCTTCTGCTACAACGATTTATTTGTTTTCATGATTTGTTGGTTGACTGGGCACAGAAATATTTCCAAAGAATTTAAGGTAGATTGGGGGCCAGAACCCACCCTGAAACCATGTGTGTTAGAAGTACACACACTGCTCATATATTAAAATAAGTACTTACCCAAGTAAGAACTGCTTTCCTGTACTTACTGTACATGGCATAAAATGTATTTGAGAAGTTGTATATAAGGAGTAGGAGCCCTGGTGACCCAGTGGTTAAAGTGCTCAGCTGTGAACCAAAAGGTCGAAGGTTCAAGCGTACCAACCGCTCCATGGGAGAAAGATATGGCAGTCTGCTTCCCTAAAGATTACAGCCTTGGAAATCCTATAGGGCAGTTCTAATCTGTCCTATAGGGTTGCTAGGAGTTGGAATCAACTCGATGGGAATGAGTTTTTGGTTTATATAAGGAGTAGTATAGTTTCTGCTTCAAAGAGAATGAAACAAAAAGAGTTTAAATCATAGCAAAAAAGCATAGAACTATCTAAAGACATGTAGACGTAGGGAGAGTTTACAAAGGAACACTTCTATTCTCAGACTTTTGATGTAATAAGAGGCAATATGACGATCACAGCAGACAGTTATAAAATCATAGCTATGATTTCCATGAGCTAAAAGACTAGAATTAGGCGATGCTAATTTAGCTTTGTGAGGAGGTAAATTGACATTATTTTTAAGGAAGATATGAGCAGTGTCTGGGAAGGAAATAGAAGGAATAGCATATATGAAGACTTTTTGACAATGAACATTTTGGTGATTGTGGGGAGAGCATTTCGAGTCAGTTTGGCTGCCTTTAGGATTAGGTGAGTTTTAGGGGTCTCCACTGTTGAGACTTCTGTTGCGTTTGATAAACATTGTTGAGTATCTGAGGGAAATAGACAACTAGAACTCTGTCTCCACCTTCAAAGAGCGCCCTGTCTAGGGAGGAGATAAGTGTGTCAACAAAGACCTCGGCTGAGATATGATCACTGACCTGTTGTGTACAGAGTGCCGAGTACAGGGGGAGGCACAGTTAGTTCTGGATCTCGGATCACCGCATCCAGAGGAGCTCCTTCTTCAGATCCAAGCTGTTTGATTGAAGACATGCTTTCTAGCCAGCCAGGGTGAGATTGATAAGCATAGAGACTCTCTGCAGCAGTTAAGACTACTGTTCTGATAAGCCAGGCTGATGGGAAGACATCTGAGTCACCACGGAAAAGGCAAAGAGGCAGAGCCCTGCTCCCTGGTGTCTACGTGAGCAGCCTTTTGGTCTGAGGAGCTCCTTGTGGGCCATTGTCACGGATCAGAAAACATGCTTGGCCAGAGTCAGGAAACATGGATTTGAGCTCAGCAATGACTTAAATGTACTTGGGAAGAGAGAAGTCACTCATAGCTCTTTAGTTTCCTCAACTGTCCAGCGGGAGGGTTGGGTGAGATGACAACGCAGGGCTCCTTGGAGCTCCAGCAACCCTGTTATTGTTATTGCCGTGGAGTCAGCTCCTACCCATGGTGACCTTATGAACGTCCGAATGGAACGCTGCCTTGGTCCTGTGTCTTCCTCACAATCTCATGTTCCAGACCGTTGTTGTGGCTGATGTGCCAGTCTATTTCATGCAGGGTCTCCCTCGCCTTGTTGTCCCTTTACTTCACCAAGCATGATGTCTTCCTCCAGCGATGGTTCCCTTTTGATGACGTGTCCAAAGTAAGCAAGTCAGACAGTGTTCCATTGTGCACCATAAGGTCTTCAGTGCCTAATTTTTGGAAGTAAATTACCAAGTCTTTCTTTCTAGTCTGTCTGAGTCTGCGAGCTCCCTGGGAGAAGCTCCCAGCAACCCTCAGATTCTGTAAATCCCTAACAGTAATTTTTCTTGAGTGCCTTTTAAGGTAGACTGCTTAAGTCACACCTACCCAGCCTTCTTCCGGGCCCAGCCTTTATTGTGGGTTCCAGGTTAATACATTTTTTTAAAAAAATCACTATAAAATGGGAACTTTTGCGTATCCTTCCTCTTCTTGGTTAGTCCCTACTTATTCTTCAGGGCTTAACTCAGGTCTCCTCACATGCCCAGGCTAGACTAAAAGTGTCTCCTCCGCGCATCACACGTTGTGTTGATATTATCTGTTTTTTGTGTCTGTCTCCCGGACTGGTCTCAGTTGCAGGAGGTGACGGGCCATAATTTATTTATTAGCACATTACCCGACACCTAGGAGATGCTCCACAAATGTTATTAGAAACCTTTTTTTTGTTTTGTTTTTGGATTCCTTCTCCGTCTTTGCTACAGGTACTAACCTGTGATAGTCACTGATTTTGACTTTCCTTCCTTTTCCTGCCCCAGTTCCTCCTGCCTTTTGTCACATTTCCCCTGCCTGGGTGGGGGTGTCATCAGCACAGGAATAGCCATGTGGGAAAGCAAGAGGAAGAAGTAGGGAGGGGAAGTTCAGAAATGGAAGGGAAGTCTAATAGAGGGCCCAGGGTCCTCCGGCCACATTTTCTATGGTTGCAGATGTTCTCAGAAACTTGAAAAATTCCTGCAGGGTGGTTCTGACCAGTGATCTGGTCCAGGGAAAGAGCCATAAAAGAAGCAGGATAGGGACCCAGGCAGTTGAAGGTGGCAGATCTTGAAGTTAAAGTAATTTCAAAAAGATAATAAAATCTCTCATTGATAATGTCTGGAGTGAGTTTTGACGAAGCTTTCTTTTATTTGCAATTATGATAAAGACCTGTATCTCCCGATATTTCAATTCTGTTCCTCTGATTGGTCCCCAGGATCTCTAGAAGTAGAACGCATTTAAACTGTGTGCTTACTTGCAGTGGACGCGTGAGTGGGTAGTTCTCTTCTTGCTGTATGTGGAAAGGAGGTTTACGCTGCAGAAGTGCTAACTTGGCTATCTAAGAACCCCAGTTAGAAGGAGGATTTCATCATATGTTCTACTTAAAGAAAAAAACAACAAAGCACCAGTTTTCAAAGTGACAAATCAATGTTCAGGATAGCAGCATTCAGGAAGACTGGAAGAAATTAGTTATACCAAAAATATGTATACTTTGGAATGTAAGGAGACATTTTAAATGGAAAGAATGATAAACTCTAGATATTTAATACAATTAAAGAATGTATGAGGAAATGCTTGTCTTACTTAATCCCGTGTCATTTTCTTTCATTGTTCCTGTAGTTGTTTAGTTAGCTGACAATATACTTGGTGTTAAGTTAAAGTATGTGTTGATTTTCCCCTCCAAATTAGTATATAAGTTAAAAAATTTAATGATGACGTTTATATTTTTATATATGTGCTATAATTAAGATAATGTTGATTTTTTTTTAAATGATAGGGCCATATATTTTGAAAGGGAACAAAATAGGCCTGGAGGAACATCATGCTAAAGTCAGCGTGTCGAGGTCTATATTTTACATTGTTCAATTTAAAGAGCAACTATACTCAACTTTTAGTTTTATTGAATCTTCCTATTTTAATATTTCATTTGTTTTCCATACACTGTAGGAAGTCTAGAGGGTTATCTGTTGACATCTGAATTTGAAATGACTTAGAAAGGGCAAAAAAAAAAAAAAAAAA